ACTCCCAATAGTCCCGAACGAAAAGTAACATGGCAAAGGAAGGGTAATGGAAAAAGAAAACCTTTAAACTAGACAGGAGACAGCGAGAGGAGGATCCTGTCTCCAATATGGATCCAAATGCCTCCACCGTAGGACTAATCGTTAGTGAAGCCTCCAAGTTGCCTGAGGTAAACGTTTTTATTAATGGAGTACTAACCTCAGCCCGAATTGATACGGGTTCTGACTTTACTTTAATAAATGATTCCATGTGGAGGAAAATTTCTTTTCAGAATCGAAATATTCGGTTACAAGCTGGGCCGAATTTTAAGTTAGCCATTGAAGGAGGAAAAGGAACCTCTATTGGAAAATTTCTGGCAAAGATCCAGATTGGAAATGTTACCCTTCATCAAGAATGCGTTGTAGTAAAAGGACTTATAATGACATGCTTACTAGGGCGTGATTTCACCAAGAATCATGGAATAACAATGGATTTTAAAAATTTGACAGTTTCTTTGGACGTAAGTCAACCAAGAGAGAGAATTTCACCTAAGTGGGACGAACTCCAAACCACTTTGAGTGGTGAAAGGTTAGTAACTTTGAAAAACGTATTATTGCAATACCCGCAACTATTTACAGATAANACATAACTAAATCATAACATAACGTCTTGACAATAAAATTTTGTCAGATAACTGTAAACTTTCACTGTACAGTACAATCTAGAAAGTCCATATATGTTTTCTAAAAGAATATTTAAAATAAGTGGCATCTTTATTAAAAAGGAAATAAATGTATAAATTAATCTAATGAATCTAGATAAAGAAATTATTATTGGTCATTTTTATTATGAAGAAAATCTTGGTCATACTACTTTACCTATATTATCCTATGCTGATAATATTAAATTGATTAACCACAATTCTTCAATTTGATCTACTCCATTCACCTTTCCTTTTAGAAAAAGCTAATCTAAAAATTAATTTACAAAAAATTGTAGGTGTGTGTTTTTCACTCATTTGTAATCCTTAGTTGCTCAATTCTATATTTACAATAATCCCATAAAATATGTTAATATGTTTGATCCTAAACTTACTTTCAAAGGACATGCTGATAAAATTATTAAATCTCTAGCTATTTGTCATGGAATTCTTTAGTGTTTTTGCAAAACTATTTCCTCAAAAACAGTCTCACGTTCCATTTATTTTGCCAATATTCAACCTTTATTTGATTACTGTCTGCCAATATGGACTATGGCTGCCTCTTCCAATTTAGATAAAAAGAGTTAGATAAAATATTTCTTATTATAAATAAACTCTCTAATCTTTCTTTTACCCCTAATGTTAATACTGCTAGGTTCAGATTGGGAATTCCCAGTTTTACCAAACATATTAAATACTTTGACTATTTACTTTTATACAATGGTTCCATCTGTTCTGATTGGCTGTGTCTAAGAGTTCTGCCATGAATTACTTGAAACTAAACTTGTTTCTTTAACCTATCTTTTAGGCTTTCCATCTCAGATCATTTATCTATTGGTCTGTTCAGAATATGGGCTATGTGGAATAATCTCCACATGAAGATTTTCTACATTTTAAACACATTTGTAAATGGTTACTTTATATTAATATTACACAATCATTTGTTTTTATTTATGTATATTTTTTATCATGTATATTGATTGTTATCATTTCTTTATTTGTATTTTAATCTTGGTTATGGGGGTTATTTTTGGGGTTATATTTATGGGCATTATATCAATTGTCTTCTGACATTTCCTTCTATATATGGAATAAATAAATAATTTCAACAGTGAAAGAAATACTAATATTTTGGGACCTATGTAAAATGTAAAAAACAGTGTTTTACTGTATGCATTAAGAAACTGAAGCTACAGGTCTTCAAAAAGTCATGCCACCAATGGAAAACAGATTAGTCATTTAATGCTTGTTCTATTATGATGGCATTATTATTATTGATATCCAAAAACCTATGGCGTTCCAGATCACCTGATTTGAGTCACAATTATTTTTGTTATGTTATTTAAAGGGCTGTGCATAAAACAATCATCCTCATGCTTGCCCAACCTCAGGATAACATTCAGCATATCAAAAATAACATTCATGGAGTCTTTGCAGAAGGTTTCCCATAACAGGATAGGATCAAACAGGTTTAGTTGTAAAGATCAAGGCAGTGATCATTTGCATATTTAATATGAAAATACATGACTTTTTGAAGACCATGTATTAAACAATTCTAAATGTATCAGGATTATTTTTTTTATACTTTTTTTTAAATTTAAGAAACCTTTGATTTTTAATGTAAAATTCTATAAAATATTAAAATGAAATTCTTTCATTTACATTCTTCAATTAAAAAATTTTAGATCAAAATTTTTAAAAATTTACCTGGTCTGCAATTTGTCTAGCTAATTTATCTAACTTTGTGCCAAATTCTGAAATTTTTTTTGCAGCATTAATGACATCCATAGTTGTTTTTAATGGTCCCTTGCCTCTGTAATAAAAAAACAATTAAGAAATGATTAAATTTTAAGATACATACATGTTGGTTTTTAATTGTTATGTATATATTACCGTGTGAAATCTGTCATTTCCATCATAATCATACACATCTGTTTTGCTAATACAATTACATCATTTCCTGTGTCATCCCATTTGGCAACTTCTTTATCGAACTTAGTCTTTTCTGAACGGAAGTTTTCAACCTGTGCAGCAATCTTTTGCTTTTCTTCTTCTGAAACAAATCTGTATGCATCCTGTAATTTTATAAAATATGAAATTCTTTAATAATTTAAGAAATTATCAAAAGTAACTTGATACAAGTACAGGTAGTAAAAATTAATGAAAATAAAAAGTATGATCCAAAACATCAATAGTGTATTTAAATTAAGATATTAAACTACAATAATAAAATGAGCTATTAAAGAAAATGCTATAGAAGTTCAGATAGATATATAAATTGTTTTTAAGTCTGCATTTAAATTCTTAATCTTTTTACAAACTATGCCAATCCATTATGAAACAATTTTAACTACAAAATGGAAAATGAGTGAAACAATAAATTAATGATGCTCAATTAAAATGAACATATTCTCATTTTAATAATCTAAAACAATTATATATTCCAGTATATATAGAGGAGATCGGACCGAATGTCCGGATAGTGAAACTGGCAACACGTCCATATGGTAAGCAGGAGTTGCGAGTTCAAGTTCCACTTCGGGCCAATTCTTCCAGTTTATTCTAAATTAATTCAATATTATAATTACTAAATTTAATACGAGATGGCGCTTAACGTCTCCCTCTAGTGCCAAATTTATTTGTAATTCATAATTAATATTTCCAAATTATAGCCCAATTATTTACGGCAATCATGGGTGTCTAATTATCTTACTTTTTAATGAATAAGTCAAAAATAAAATCATAAAAACATGGGACATTTTAAGATCCATTACTAATAATTCATACTGGTATGATTCCCACATAAAATAATTGAAAGTAATTCATCATGATACTGTTAAACAATATCTAACACTATTGTATATTACATTAAATAAATTATAACTACAGCTTACTCTTGTGTTATTGATTCCACTTATTTCTGGATATTCATCATAATCAGTATGAGCACTTGCTGTTAAAAAATTTCAAAAATAAGAACATTAGATTCTAACAAATTAATTAGTTATTAGTAAAATACAGGCCTTGGAACAGAAAATGACTTCAAAATAAGTGAGAATAACAACTTCCAACAAGGAAAAAGTGACTAAACAGTGACTCAAATAAAATTAATTAGCCATGATGACATACGTTATTTGTAAGGAGTGAAGTCAGATTGCTATTTTAGGTTTATGAGTTTTGTTTCATTTGATGTTATAATTTAGTTTGAGAAATTGTCTTTTAAACAAAAGAAAACAAACTTACTTTCATTATTAACTAACAATATTTACGAATAAAGCAACCATAATTTGTAATTATGACTGGAAAATACTACTAATAGAGTTCTGGTTATTGGCATTGTTTGCTGCAGCTGCATAATTTAGAACTAATGTTCGCACATGGTCTAGACGTTTGTGTGCATTTCTCACTTCTGCATAAATGGTGTTGCAATTGCAAATTCCAGTCTGAAAAATTTGTTTTCATGTATGTTTCCCTCTTCTCACACTTGTATTAATGCAGCCTCACAGCAAGGACTCAGACTAGAGTCTCTGGCAAAACCAAAACGGGAATTTCTGAGTTCCAGTTTCGTTTGTGTGTGTCAAATCCAAGTTGGTTGACCAAAATTAGTGAAAAAAGTCATTAATTATTCTTTGCTATATCTGTATATTTTGATCTGTTCTTTACTCTGTTTCTTTATTTTTTTGTAGAGCATAACTGTAGGTTAATAAGTGCCGGGTTGGTCAACCAGTTCAGTAAGCAGGAGGTATCCAGTAGAAGATATATGGCATGTGTCTCTTTAAAAAGATTGAAAGAAAAACTGCCTGTATATTTATTGTTCTCATTCTAATGAGTTAGCTTGTTAAATTTTATAAAATTAAATTTTCAATTGGTCAAAATTATTAATTAGAAAAAAGTTTTTAGAGTTGCAGAATTATTAAAATTTAAAACAAGACATTTCATTAAAGAAAAAACCCAGAGACAAAGTGCATAACTTTCCTGGCAAAATAAGATGAAATAATAGAACAAATTTTAAATTAGTGTGAGGTGCATCTTTTATGAGGTTTTGTCAAAAACAATTTTCATATTATTAATAATTGAAAAACTGTAAATAATTTAATTTTACGGGTAGAGAAGAGTTTTATATAAAATTATAAATGCTAATAATGAGTAAAATCTTCAAGAAGCCCGACTCCACTCCAGTTATGACATGTAATCCCTTTCTATCTTCCCACTCCTCAATCTATAACCACCAAAATTTAATAGCATCAATGCCCTTTATACACAAGCTACTGCATGAAATTTCGTTTCTTAATCATTACCCCATTGTGAGATATTAAACAAAATAGATGCCAACACACATGGATTTTTTTATTTGTCGTTTTTAGATATAGGAGGTCTCAAAACACAGAGATTTGCAAAAAACTCTGAGGATCAAATAAGACACAATTCCAATATTTTCCCATGTTATGTACATAAGCTGGGAAAGTAAAACACTGTTTATATTTATTATTCATCAATAAATCTTGTAATCTGTTACAAAGCTATAAATTTATTAAATTGTCCCTTAATAAACTTTCCAAATTTTATAAAATATTAACAAACTTGAAAAAAATTTAATCAGTAATTTTGTTACATTATCATTTAAAGACCTCAAAAGTCATGTAATAACAAAATTTTCAACGTGCAACAAGAGAAAGATGTTATGGACATCACAATTTAAGCATTTAAATGTTAATTAATGAAGTAACTAACAGGTTACAACTTGGCGTCACAAAAATGTTGTTACTGATAACAGAAAAAGTGATATATCATCAAAATAGTTAGAAAAAAGTGACTAATTTAAAAATAGTGAGAATAGTGATCTGTTCCAATACCTGAAAATAGCAGTAATTCAAAATATTTAACATTTTATTAAATAATATAATTTCTTACATTTGCTTTTTGTTTCAGATGTATTTCCTTCAAATTCAATTTCAGTTTCTGAATCCAATTCTTCTGCAGTCTAGAAAATAGTAACAACCAAATTTATTAAAAAAATAAACTGCTTAAAAGTTAAAAACAATTTCTAGATTATGGAATATATTTCACAATATAAACTTTAATTCTTTACTTATGAAAACTTAGTTTAACATACATACATAAATTGTTACATATGACAGTCATAATTAGTTTCTCAAACATAGTATTAATTCTCAAACTGAAACAAAAACAATAATTAATTAAATTATTGTTTTTGGTGTTTGATAGAAATATGGTGAAGGAACCCTATATATTAAGATTTAGTGAAGTAAATAAAATTAATGCAGATATTCAATTTGAAATTGAAAACGAACATAACTGTAAAATAAATTATTTGGGTATTACAATAATTAGAAATAAATTGGGGATTGTGTTTATGAAACATGAGAAACCATGTAATAATACAAAAACTATAAATTATAATTCTTACTGTCTAATAAGTATTAAATTGTTCTATGATGGAAACACAAAATATGGGGAAGAACGATGGAATTGGGGGAAAGGCTACAGTAGACAGATAGGGTAAAAAAAGAATCTTTATTAAATAATTATCTGAGAAGATTGATAGATGTTTGGATTCAGAAGATTTTAATGACAGACAAAGTAAAGAATAACAAAGATGATAAAAATTATGTATCGTTTCTGTACATTAAAAGTGTAAATTTCTGCAGGATTGTAAGGAACCAAGTCCGAACGTTATTTTTATTTACTTTTATTTTGCTTATTCTATTTTTGTTTGGGGCTTATGTTTTGTTAGGACGAAGTTTCCTCACCATTCACCTTAGTAACTTAAAAATAGAAGAAAAACCAACTCACCGACGAAAGAAAAGCGCCGTAGAAAAACTCGCGCACACTTGCGCTTCCCAAGCGGAAAAAAGTAAGTCCGCACCGAGAAAAAGGGGGGGGAAGACCCCACAACCCAGTTAGGAATCGCTAAACCTTAAAAGAATAAAGCATCCCGATAATTGTTAAAAAGAATAATGTAAAAGGTTAGCGAAGTATTGTCGGAAAATAATCTGCCAGATAAACAAGAAAAATTTAATGTTACAGATAAGTATGTAAATGAGGAGAGTGAGCTCATTCAGAATTGTGACGTCACCTCACACTATAAAGCCTCTAACTCAAGTGAAAACGAACGAGGTGAATTCCTGATAGCAACGAGCTTTGGTGAGCTTCGTAGCAGTGAACGAGAGAGGTGTCCGATAGGATTTTGAAGTTATTCGATTTGTGGATCGACGATTATAGAAAGTCTTGAGAGTTTGAGGAAATAGGTTCCTAGTATATTGAGGTGACGATTAGGATCTTTAATTTATAAGAATTATTGTTTATAAGTTAATTCTTTGATTTTGTCGAATTCCAAAGGGGAATAGAATTAAGTTAGAAATAGATTGATTTGAGTTTGTCGGATTGATTCTTGTTGAGTTCCATTGAATAAATTATTGTTTGATTTTTACTAAATACTGTATAGAATTTATTAATAGAAGTTTAATTAAATATTTGATTTTGTTATTGACAAACTTTGTCATTATTTAATTCGGTGCACGCTTAAAGTCCAGGCCTGGCACACTAACGCGAATCCGCGTAAAGTACCCGTTAGGGAACGGCTATTTCCGGCACACAGTAGTGTCGATAATCGTTGGAAAGTCGGAAAAATAATATAGTACTTTACAACTGGCGCCCGAACAGGGACTCTAAGGCTAATATTAGACTTTATTGCTTTCTTTCATTGACTTTGAATTTAGCTTTAGAGGAATAACACCTCGTAAGTAAAAAAAAAAAATGGATGATAGTGCACCAGTAACCCGAGCCGAATATAACCAGTTACAACAGCAGTTGTCAGTGCTGTTGCAACAAGTGTCCAGTTTGACGAATGCCGTGACTCATCTGACTTCATGTGTCACGTCTGGAACTGTAGAGCCTACAACACCGAACGTTACAAGTGCTGTACGGCCCGAAACTTCTACTCCGAGACAGGAAGTGCCTACATCTAATGCATCGATGGTCTGGCTTCAGACTGCACCGCCGCCGCCAGCCATCCAATTTAACGGTAGGTCAGCATTAACTGCTAACGATTTTTTGCAGGACCTCGAACAGCATTTCCTGGTGAACCAAATACCGAACACTAGATGGGTAGATACTGCCGCTAGTTGTCTTCGCGGTAGCCCAGCAATGTGGTGGAAGAATGAAGGACGCCACCGAATCGGCAACAGTTGGCCGTTATTTAAACGATGTTTTCTGGACCTTTATGCTCCTTTAGCTGACGAAGTAGCTGTCGCTAAAGAATTATTTAGTCGACAATATACAGGAACCAATGGTGTCGAGCAGTTTATATGGACCACGGTACAGCTATACCGTACGTGGAGACCTTTAGCTCGTGACGAGGAAATTATACAATGTGTAGTTGCCCAGATGCCTCTTCCGTTACGTGAGTATCTGGAGAATCGCCGTTCTTATTCGTTAAACGAGCTAGTACGCACTGCAAAAGAGTACGAATTCAGAAGAAATGACCAAGGTTCTTCTGACAGTGCAAAGCAGATTAAGGACTGTCGAAAAGTAAGTAAGCAGATAGAGCCGAAAAATTTTGCACCGGCAAAGTCACCCATGACCTGTTATTCATGTGGTGAGGTGGGACATTTTTCGAGGAATTGTCCCAAGGGGAAAAGACAAACTGATCAAACGAATGTCAAGACTCCCAATAGTCCCGAACGAAAAGTAACATGGCAAAGGAAGGGTAATGGAAAAAGAAAACCTTTAAACTAGACGGGAGACAGCGAGAGGAGGATCCTGTCTCCAATATGGATCCAAATGCCTCCACCGTAGGACTAATCGTTAGTGAAGCCTCCAAGTTGCCTGAGGTAAACGTTTTTATTAATGGAGTACTAACCTCAGCCCGGATTGATACGGGTTCTGACTTTACTTTAATAAATGATTCCGTGTGGAGGAAAATTTCTTTTCAGAATCGAAATATTCGGTTACAAGCTGGGCCGAATTTTAAGTTAGCCATTGAAGGAGGAAAAGGAACCTCTATTGGAAAATTTCTGGCAAAGATCCAGATTGGAAGTGTTACCCTTCGCCAAGAGTGCGTTGTAGTAAAAGGACTTATAATGCCATGCTTACTAGGGCGTGATTTCGCCAAGAATCATGGAATAACAATGGATTTTAAAAATTCGACAGTTTCTTTGGACGTAAGTCAACCAAAAGAGAGAATTTCACCTAAGTGGGACGAACTCCAAACCACTTTGAGTGGTGAAAGGTTAGTAACTTTGAAAAACGTATTATTGCAATACCCGCAACTATTTACAGATAAGCCGGGACTAACCAATATGATAGAACACGAAATCGTCACCGACAAGGCGACACCAGTATGTGGACGTCCTTATAAATACTCTGACGTCAAGTTAAAGGAAATGAACCGCCAGATAGCGGAAATGTTAAAAGATGGTATCATCCAACCATCAAATTCTCCGTGGGCCTCACCAGTCGTCATGGTTAAGAAAAAAACGGGCGATTGGAGATTGTGTATCGACTATAGAAAGCTAAATCAGGTAACAGTGACTGATAAATATCCTTTACCGATTATTTCAGAATTACTGACTTCACTTAAGGAAGCGAACTTTATAACTACGTTGGACTTATCGTCTGGTTACTGGCAAGTGCCGTTAAAGGAACAAGACAGACCGAAGACTAGTTTTATTACAAATAGTGGATTGTATGAATTCCTAGTCATGCCTTTCGGTCTCAGAAATGCCCCAGCAACATTCCAAAGGCTAATGGACAAAGTCCTAAAGGAAGAAAAAGGAAAGTATTGTCAAGTTTATTTAGACGATATTATTATATATTCTTCTAATTTTACAGAACACATCGAACATTTGACCAATGTGTTCGAAAGATTGGCAGCTGCAGGATTAACCATTAAATTGGCTAAGAGTCATTTTTGTCGCCCAGACGTTCATTACCTGGGATTTAAAGTCAGCAATAAAGGCATTGCGACGGAAGGCGAAAAAGTAAGGGCCGTTCGAGAGTTTCCGAAGCCCAGAAATACGAAGGATCTTAGCACCTTTTTGGGAATGTGCAGCTGGTACTGTAGATTCATACCTAACTATGCAACTATCGCCAAACCATTGTATCAATTACGGCGGAAACGGAAACGTTGGAAAAGTCGGAAAAATAATATAGTACTTTACAGGATAACCTCCCAGATGACATTATTCTGGAGACAACTTCTTTTGATCTAAAAACTAATACATGAACAACATAAGACATGCATCTAACAGATGAAGTTTCACACATGATGGCAAGTCATGAACTTGCAGGGGTGAGACAAAGGGACAGGAAGATTGTTCTGTCTAAGCTAGATTTCTCTAGCAGACCAAAGAAACTAAGGGAATAGACAATTATGATATTTAGGTTTACTACATTTATAAAATATTGGTAAATTAATTAATTTTTCAAAATAACAATATAAACTATTTTCATAGTTTTTTATTATCTGCAATAGAATTTATGAAAAATAATTCAAATTTATTATTTAAATTGAAATAAATTTCTCAAACTATTACTATTTGTTTCCTTAACAATATGACATATGCAGACATTAACTTGTCATTTAACAACATGACTAATGATTCATATACAATAAATAAAATTTTTATAATTATTGGTTATTAAATGCTCATAATGTTCTATTAAATCAAATGTGTTATTTACATTATGATAATCTAATATAAGTAATTTTATTGCAAGTTCATCAAAATTTTTTTTAACATTATTAGAAAGAGTAAAAGGTTGTCTAGAAAAATGTAATTTATTAAAATAAAAGACTCATTAGGGTATAAATAATAATGACATTTTTAGCGAAATTGAAAGTAACCATACCTAAACCTTGTTTAACTAAGATGGCCGGATGGCCAAGTGGGTCAAGGTGGCAGCTTACCTAACCTGTATGATAGGAGTGGTCTGTTCAGAGATGTTGGACCCTGTCCCTCACCACCCAGTCACCATGGGCCTGTTAAAAGAGGCCCTCTTAGTTCCCACAGGGCAGAAAGTTAAAAAAAACCTCATGTAACTGAAAAGAGGTGTTTGTTCATATCTATACTATTATTATGAAGAGGTAATGTTTGTAAGTTTGTTTGCAGCAGGTAATCTCCGAAACTACTCATCCGATTTCAAAAATTCTTTCACCAATATTTAGAATGGAACCTCAGGTTGGACATAGGCTGTGTATTATTCCGTTAAACATTCATATAAATTAAAAGATATAATCTAGATTAAGGGTTTTATGTCAACAGATGGTGCTATGAGTACGATGCCCTAAGTTTGCTTTTCTGTGAGGCATTATGCTTTTCTGTGAAAATGAACTAAAGCAGATCATCATCTATCTATCTACATAAATAAAAATGTAATGCTTGTTTGTTCCTACTGATTCCTTTGAAATTTTAACACAACGCTGCATTCGAATAGGCACGTGTTTTTATATAATATACATGTTGAAATTACCTGTGAAAATGATGCATTTTTATATCTGAATCAGTATCTGAAGATAAAAGACTGCACTCATTTGTTCAAATGTGCTTTAATTCATGAATAAAAATATTTAACAATCTTTTGGGGAATTACTATTAATAGTAGTCATTTTCTTGAATAATATAAAAAATTGTATATTTCACATAATTCAGTTGCATTATTTTTCTAAATATTCAGCATGTGCTCCTATAAAATTTAAGAAATGTTACTTACCACTATTTTCAACCAGACACCTCAAATATATTTTTATTTTTACATTATCAAAATATCATCTATGTGCACCTTAACAGAAAATATCTTAATTCCAAAAATGATTGAAATTTTCTACTTTGACCATATTATTTAAGATTTCACTTAGAACTACAGTCAATGGAGAAGTCTAAAAAATGAAGTGCTTGTTGCAAAAATTACTCAACCCATTTCTAAGACTGCACTCAACCACAAAAATAAATTTTCTTTGGACCAATATTATTATAATGTAAACAGTGAGCACTAAAACTAATCTTTAAATCTATTTTTATCAATCATCATTTATAGATGAATCAATAAAAAAAAACATTAACTAAAGTTTATTATTTAAAATAAATAAATTCTTACCCTATTCATTAAAACTGCTCTTCGAATTTCCCGAACGCCATCATATACCAATCGTGAAGCATCAATAAATTCATTTTCATCTAATTCTTTAGCTGAGCTTGATCCTAGTGCTTCAACAGCTGCTTCTACTCTTTCAGCAAAATTAGGCATAACTGGAACATTCATATAATAATAAAAATCTCTTTCTCATTTTAAAATTAATTTAATAAATTTTTCATATTTCAAATTTTAGTTCATAAATCATTACCTTGTTCCCTGAGTACTGCAACAGCTTTCAAAACTCCATCTGTATAAATTCCTGGTTCATAATTATCCATTTCAGTTGTTACAACATTACAAACCCTTGCTGATCTTCCTCTTATTGCTCCTGCAGTTCTATCTAGTGTATCAGCATCACCCTCTTGGAGTGCCAAGACACATTTATTCACATCTTCAAGAATATGACTTTCTAAAGAGAAAAATATCAAATAGAAGCAGTTTTAAGTCAAATACAAATAATTTTTAAGTTATAATTAAAGTTTCAAATTTGAATAATTTATTTTTTAGAAATTTAGACTGAATTTGTGATTTTTCAAAAAATAATTATTCTCGAATACATTTAGAAAAACTGATTTTGCTGTAGTTCTTATTTTTAATTTTTAGTTACATTGATTTAATCATTATATTTGTTATTTAAACATTTTTTTTATAATAAAAATAATTATTGATACAATACAACAATGTAGTTTGTTTAACCATTAAGAACATAATTGTAAACAGACTGGAAACTGTATATGAAAAATACAAATAATTAAAAATTTCATAAAAAGACATTTTCTTCTTTCAAAGGAAAAAAACAAATTAAATAAATAAATTAGACCATCTTAAACAACAAGTTAAAAGTTAATACATAATTTTACCACTAAAACAATAACTTAAATTAATAAAGTTTCAAAAACAAGTAATTTTAAAGGTTGTTCAAATGAAACAGACCATGCTAAGAGCATTATTAATATTTCACAAGTATATGCAGCAGTGTACATGCTGAGACATGCAGAAATATTAAGCAATGTAGTCAGTTTAAATCATGCATAGCTTTTTTAACAGACATATTTTACCACTCTGTATTGCATATGTGTATTTTTTGGTTGTTTTTTAATGATTTATGCATGCTAGGCTTGTAAACTTCTTGTTAAATATGTTAAATTCTTGTTAAAATAATTTTTAAATTAGATTAATCTGTTCCAGACTCTTGGAAATCTGGAACAGATTAATCTAATTTACATTATTCCTTAGGGAAAAATCCATTTAGTACTCAAGACTTCCAAAACAAATTAAGTTCAAGTACTGAGGTACCACTGTATTTATTTAAAAACTTTTATTAAACCATCAACAAATTATGAATATTGAATTTGTGCATTAGAGTGTAGTAAACCTTTTTCTTGATATGGCTCTTTCTTGAATGAGTCTCTTATAGGAGTACCATCATATTGGTGCACAGCATTGTAATGCACATTGAGGCTTCTTTTTGGACTCTCCTCCCTATGGCACTAAAAATGTCTTTTTATCAAACATACTGTGGGTTTGGCCAGGCCTACAATGGGAATGGCTGAACCTAGGCCAAATGGCAAGAGACAGGTCACACAAAAAATACCTGGAGTGTTGCTCACCTGAATTTGATCCTGGGTCTCTCAGAGTGATAGGCTGCCATTTTAACTCTCTCAGCCAACTGTTAGAAACATGGTTAAAAAAATCCCAAATGCTGTGCAAACATCTTCACCGTTACATGAAAATTATTATGGTATATGTTCATGTTCTTCTGTGACAGAAATTCTCCATATTCATATTTATGACAATGGGGTTTTTCTGTCTCAATTTTCATGTGGCCTTTTTATAGAACTGTTCACTAGAAATATAGTGTGTGAACACTTCAGTTTCACACACTATACTTCTAGCTACATTAAGGAGTATGATAATTTTTTCCTATCTAAAAGTTTAATCTGAATTATTTTATCAAGTAATTGAGATTATATATATATAACATAGTTAAACATTTAAAGCTGCTATGATTTTGTGCCTTTCTTTCATTTCTTTTATCTTTTATTATTGAAATGAATAAAAAAAGACTTATGTGATAAAACACAAGAACAAATTTCTTTTTAGATTTGAAGATTTCTTTTGATAATAGCAAACAAGTATTTTGTTTCTTTTTAGAAAGCAATGATGTGTTCATTAAAGAGTCATTAACATTTCTAATAAATGTTAATTTCTCTTAAAGTTGTAGCTATTTTCTAAATGAAAATAAATTTCACTGTAGATAAAAATTTTTTGCAAAATTCTTTCTCTGAAAAATTTTATCATTGATAATTATAATTATCTATACTATTTATTCTCTACATCTTACCAAAAAGCAAAGAAAATATAATGCTTTTAACTTATTCCTAAGATAAAACAATTAACATTTAATAACTTGAATTTTTTACAGTGATTATAAGAAATTTCAATATATACAGNGTAGAGCATAACTGTAGGTTAATAAGTGCCGGGTTGGTCAACCAGTTCAGTAAGCAGGAGGTATCCAGTAGAAGATATATGGCATGTGTCTCTTTAAAAAGATTGAAAGAAAAACTGCCTGTATATTTATTGTTCTCATTCTAATGAGTTAGCTTGTTAAATTTTATAAAATTAAATTTTCAATTGGTCAAAATTATTAATTAGAAAAAATACACTTTAATATAATGCTTTTAACTTATTCCTAAGATAAAACAATTAACATTTAATAACTTGAATTTTTTACAGTGATTATAAGAAATTTCAATATATACAGGGTGTATCAGAATGACGTTTTAAAAATTTGGAGGAATGTAGAGGATGAAATTTTGAACGTTTTGATATAAGGAACCCATAGCTGGAAATGTGATATAAAGTTTCTACAGCGGTAGGAAGTGCTTGACCACTCTTCACTTTGGTAGCTACCCTTCTGTCCATTGACATCATGTTATTGTTTTTGACTTCTTCCTCTGAGGTTATGTAAAGTCCCTTGTGTAGGCAACACCTGTAGGAACAGTTCATAAGCTTATGGAGTGCATCTTTACAGCATTTAATACCATCAGAGGACAAAATATGGTTCGTCATTGCACATTATGTAATGAAGTTGGTGGTCATCACATTGAACATTTACTCTAAAGTAGTGCAGCCACTGATTCGATGTACAGTTTGATTGTACTCTACTGTTTTGTCAATAAAACTTATCACAAATACTGTATTCTGTTGTTTCATTCAGCATACCGACTGCAAAGTGCTGTAGAAACTTTATATCACATTTCCAGCTATGGGTTCCTTATATCAAAACATTCAAAATTTCATCCTCTACAATCCCCCAAATTTTTAAAATGTCATTCTGATACACCCTGTATATATTATGTTCATACCAGTTACTCAAATATAACAATTAATGCTCATATATAAGAATATTCACAATTTGGAAGAAATAATAAAATGTCTTTATGTTCTAACATTCTTTCATAACTTTAGGAACAAAAGTCTTTACAGTCAGAGTCAACCTTTTATTTGAGGTTACTTGTCCACCTCATTATGTAAAAATGTTTTAAAAAAAATTTCCAGGTGAAGGTACAGTCATGATAAAAATATTTTTTTTTAAGATATTTTCTAATATGACAATTATTTATATATTTATTTATTACTGTCCTTGGCCATTTCATTACTTAATGTACTAATTGAAATAATTAATTCTATCAAACTTATAAGCTGATTTAAATAAGTTAAAAAATTTGTTGTTTAATTGAAAAAATTAAGAATTATTTTTATTTATAATAAAACTGTTGGTATCAAAAACCATTTATACATACATATAATTTTTTTTTTACCTGAAACAGCAAGGAAATCATCAATTGTAGTAATGTCATCCACTGCTTCTGTAAGTATTCTCACTTGATTCTCCCAGGCATCTTTAAAGGCATCCATATTTTCTTGTGCTACTTTTGATTTTGGTCGGGCAGCAAGAATACGAGCAGCATTTATAACCTAAATATTACATAAAATTATATATGTTAATTAGCCAGTCAAATTTTTTAATTGATGAATTTTAGCAAATGTAGTTTTATTGTGATCATTTAATTCATGTAACGTTACACTTTTTTTTAAGCTAATTCATTGGATTTAAGATTCAAAAGTTTTTTTAATAAAACTTTAATAAAACATTACCTATACATAGATAATCTACAAAATTAAAAAATAAAAAATAATTAAAATTTTTAAAAAATCGTCAGTGAATAATTGTTTTAAAATTTTTCTTAAATTCTGAAATGGAATTTCTTATAAAAATAAAAAAAGTTTGTTTATTCTTTGAAAAATTTGTAACACTTTAAAAATATTTATCCAATAATCTTTTTTGCATACAATTTTTTGAAGTAAAAATATTGCTATAAAATGACAAACTACAAAAGTTCTGTTACTACTTTTATTGCATTACCTGTGGACAGAGACCTTCTATTTGGAAAGCAGCAAATCGAACCATTTTTACACCTTCCTCATTATTTGACATGGAACAGGCTAAGTTAGCAACCTAATGTGAAAATAATTTAAATTTAAAAATTAATTTAAAAAAGCCTATTTATTATTGAAACATGTTATATACCAAACAGTTAAAAATTACCTCAACTAATTTATTTGCATGTTCTGTAAAAACTTGAGCATATTCTTCTACTTCTCTTTCATTTCCAGCTTTTGCAGCTTCTATTAGTACAAGCAATGGCACACTCGTTTCAAGGAAAGAATCAGAAACATGATCAACTACTGCTTTTCTTAACTGGCGTCTTAAATCTTTTGTTTTGTGCGTCATATGTTCAATGGCTTTATCAAGAGATTCAGAAGATTCCTTTTTACCAACCTATTAGAAAAAAAAAATACAATTAGCTACTTCTAAAAAAATTGAATTAGATACAAGTTTAATTTCAATTATTTAACTATCTTTTAACTTCAGCAAATGTACTGATAAATTTTGTCAAAGTTACTATTTCAAATACATTAATTGTATTGTTTTTTTTCTTTTCTTCATACATCCAATACTAATTTCATATCAAAATTAATTTAAAATCAAGTGATAAATGAAATTCATTTAGAAAATAGAAAACTGATTTTCATTCAATATTATTTTCTGAAGAGAAAATAAAAATGCTTTAAGTTTTTCTAAATCTATTATATTCAATATATACCATTATTGGTATATATTGAATATAATAGATTTAGAAATGTATTTCTTTCTACAAAATAAATTTTTTCCTCAAATGTTTTATTTGTAAAATTAATCATTATTTCTACTTTACAACATATCATCTTTAGTTTTTTAATTTTATAACTGATAGTAGCACATGCTTTTTTATTTATATATAACACTATAATAATAAGTACAGAAGCAAATATATTTCAGAACATTTCATAGTTCAAAGGGACTGTAAATGGTAAAGTTCCAATTGTTGTTTCCTTTATGCCATATTAAAACACATTATTTAAACAGTACTTCTGTACTTAACTGGATGTCTTCTTAAACACACTCAAAAAACCAAAAAGTTTTTTTCCACAAAATAAGTAGCAGTAGCCTACACTTTCCATCAGAACATAAAATGAATATAACCAAAATTTCATCTGGACTGGACAAAGACTGCAGGAGTTATAAGGAATTCACATACACAAACACAACCGTGATGGCTTTTTTTAGAAAATATTTAGTATGATTAACTACTCCTATAAAATTACATTTATACAGAGATAATTAGGAGAATTTTAGATAAAATAGAACAATTTACAAAAAGCAAGACCTATATGCACAGTCCAGTATTGTATTTACACATTAAGAAATATAGTACAGTACTGCACACAATAAAAAAAAATAATAAAAATAAAATTTAATATCATATAGAATCCACATCAAAAGAAATACAGTAATACCTCGACTTACACTACCCCGACTTACGCAAACCTGGAGTTACGTGATTTTCAAATCTCGTCGATTCATCTTTTGTTTGAGAGCCACACAACCCTTGATTACTCACTCTCCCCACACTATTGTTCAGCTTACATGTTCGGATGTGTCACGCAGAATCCACACATAGCTACAATTTATTTTGTGTTATTTATTTCTGTGTTTGTTATATCTACGGAGACTTGAGAGACTCTACTATGTCATCCAAACGAAGTAGAACTAATTCTTCTGCATCAAACAAGAAAAGAAAAACTTTATCTTTGGAATGTAAAGTTAACATTGGGTATGTTCGTAAAGTCGAACGAGTTAAACGAGAATGACGTCATCGTTATTCCTATTTCATTAGACTTTTCAAATGATTTGTTACTAGCACGTTTAACTCGTTATTATTAAAGACTTTGATACAAAAATGAAAATTTGTGAATTGGCAAAGAAGTTTGATCTACCGGAATTGTCGGTCAGAACAATTATAAAAGAGAAAGAAAAAATTCTCGAAGCTGTGAAAAATGCTCAATTTTTTAATTCAAGCGTCATTCGTAAATGTCACAGTATTATTGCTGAGATGGAAACAATGTTAAAATTATGGCATAATAATCAAGTAAATGTGAAAAATTGCAAAATAATATAAGCCTAATTTGTTATACATATGTTTTATCTAAGATTTTATTAAACATTTTTTTCTAAATTATTGTTTTCTTTAGTCTCCGGCCCCAATTAAAAATTATTTGTAGGTATTTATATGCGAAATTATACCCTGACTTATGCAAATTCGACTTACGCGGTTACTGCTCGGTCCTCCTATCGTGTAAGTTCGGGATATTAAAGTTAAAGTTGCTGACTGGAATTCTTTCGGATAACTGACTTTCGGATAAACGACGCTCTACTGTATATGTATTTTTAACTGTCCGCCATGTGGGTACTAAGAGGCCTTTTAACAAACCCATTATGGGTTGAAGTTCGGGATATTACTGTAATTCATATTGTAATATTGAAAAAATTCATGGTGAGCAGATTAAGTGAAATTGAGAAAGATCCTACATCCAAAACTAAAGTAAGTTTATGGGATGCAATTTGTTTTTATTGCAGATGCAGGAGAAGAAATTTCAGAAATAATTATTAATTGTTAGAATCATATTACACTAATCAAAAACATTCTGTTCATTGATGCATTATCTTCAATAATGCATTAATAAATTTAAATAATCAGAGCCAATGAGTGAAAGTTAATATTTAAACATTGATAAAGAACATGTTCAAGAAATAGATTCTGATGACAATCAAGACCTGTCAGATGGTGGTGATGAAGGATTTCAATCAGAAGAAAATATATGTCTTTTTCAGAAGCTATAAGTGAGCAAAAAATTTTCTTAGTTTGTTGGTTTTTTCAGCATATGCCAAAAGATCCCAAAAAGGATATTGCAACACTTCAGAAAATGGCTGATTTGAAAATTATCACCAACAAGGATTAAAACAAACCAATATAACAAGTTTTTTTAAATGTAATACAACAACAAATAAGCCTAAATATTTATTAATTATTTAAAGTTTTGTTAAATTGAAAAATAGTGCTTTAAAGGAACAAAATCAAATTCTGCAATGTAAAAAAACAGTTATTTAAAAAAAATGACTGTAGAATTCTTCAAAAATGCACTTTGAAGAACACTACAATTTTGACTGTTCTCTTTTCACAGTCCCAAATTTGTATTAGTAAACTAGTGGAAAGAAAAATTTTCAAATTCTACATACATTTGCCATATACTCTGATAGAAGATCTTGTAATGCCTGTCGAACAGCATTACATTCGGCAACAATTCTTTCTCTACGATCATCTCTAGTACAAGAAGAATCAGCCATCAATGCAGCACCGCTGATTATGCTTTCTAATCGTTCTTCCAAAGCGGGACGGGTTCGGATTTCGTTGTATGTCAGTGGATCCATATATATTCGTTCCTAAGAATAAATTATAATTTGCTTTACAATATAAATTTCTTTTTAATACTCTCATTATTTTTTCCCTTGCAATACTTACATCAAATTCATCCAAAGCTGCTGCCAATTCACCTGGCCCATCATAAGGTGGATGACCAAGAGCTCCAGCTGTTGTCTTGCCCTGTGCCACTTCACTAATAGTATTAACAGCTTCACATACTTGTTTAAAAATATAATCACGATTTTCTTTAGCAGCAGCTAATTCTGGATGTCGAACATAAACCTATTCAATAAAATATACTTTTATATTCTAGCTGTATGTATAAAAATAAATCCTATATCTATCCGCTGTATATCAAAAGTTGAATAACTTATTTTTGAGGAAGGAAAATGTCATTTCCCAAAAACAGTAGTAACTAACAATGTTGACTATGGATTTTGGTAAAAGATTTTTCAGAATTTTGTGAAAGAGTATATTAATTTATAAAATTTTTAACAAAAATTATAAATATATAAATTTTAATATACAGATTAAAAATAAACATATTTCAAGACTGGTTAAATTCTATAGCATTTTTCAAATTTAGATGATTAATAACCATCAATATTTTAACTTTTGTAATGAAATTTTTTAAGCAAAGCTGCTTCCAGCCATCAAATTTTTCACGAAGGATACATTTCTCATTATAAATTGCTTGATTTTATTTAAAAAGCTGATATATTAAGTTTATTTTATTTAAAACTAATTTGTCTCAATGACAGCATTCTATTATCTCTCAATTACTGAATGTCAATTATAAACTTTCCAATATCTATTTTACAATTTAAACTTCTATCAAAATAGTTGTATAAATTAATAATAAGATCAAAGTTTAATACCTCTTTTATATATAAAAAAGTTTTGTTTTTCAGTTTTTATTAAAGGATAAAAGTTTTGTATTCAATCTGAATTTAAATCCTGTGTATGGCAATCATCTTATGCAATATCAGACAGGTACCGTCTTAGGTTGAAATTATTAATTATACTGGCTGTACTCAAGCTAGAATTCAAGATTTTGCTATAAACAATTTTTTAGCAAAAATAAAAAAAATTACTTTCAAATATTAAAAATGTGATTGATTCTGTTTTTTGTTACAATCTTACTACCAGTAATAACCAAAAAAAGTTCATTTCAAATAGGAATTATCTTTTCTTAAAAATATATCTTGTTTGAAGCTAAAATGTGATAAATTTTATGGTGATCACAATTGAAACAGACTGAAAAAGTATGCTGTAGTTCTTATAGCCGAATGAAAATATCTTCTATGAGTTAGATTTAGTATTAGTTTATATCAATAGAACTTTTTTTAATATCATTTTTAATGCTGATCAAAATTTTTTCTTTTTCCAATTTTAAGAGTTATGATTTCACAAAAGATCATAATAACCTTAATAAAACAATGTTTTATTTTTATTTATAAATGTATTTTGAATATCATTATTGCAATATCATTCTTCAGTACAAATTAGAAGTTAAAATCTCTGAGTAAAATACACACACAACGTAGCATCCTCTTACACAATTCTATATTTCCAAACATACAAGAATTGTATCTTTGAAAATGTAGAATTGTGTAGGAGGATGCTAAACCTTGTGTGTGTTTTTTATTTAGAGATTTTAACGTTTCATTTTTACTGAAGAAGGATGCCGCAACAGAAGTATTTGAAATGCAATGAACAATTATTTATTGTGACATCACCACAATGCCAGGCTGCAATTTTTAATCATATTTTTAATTAATTTAAAATATATGATTTCCACCTCAAAACAGTAGTGGCTTGCTTCCGTACATCATACTTTTCCTTTAACAATAGAGTTGTGCTGGCCATCTATCTAACACCTTTCAGGGAAAAATTTTTTAATTGAGATAACATGACTTTCAATTTGCATCAGAAGTTCATATATAGTTTATTGGGGCATCTTGTGCTTAAGGTTTCCATATCTGGTTTCATCTTTTATCTATCTAACTCTGTCCTCAAGATTAAGAAAAGATGGAGATGAACAAACAATAGTGAAAATTTATAGGTCCACAATTTTTTCAGCCCAATTATAAGACTGTTAAAATCAGAAAAAGAAGGAACTTTGATCAGCATTTTAACTGATATTAAAAAAGTTCTATAAACTTATGCTGTACTATGAAAAGTAATTGCTTTAAAATAAAATTAACAGTTTAGTTTATGTCAAATTTATTGTTTCTCTACTATTTCTAAATTATAAGTAATTGGAAGAAGGGCATCTAACATTTGTATTTTAAATAAATAAATGCTTACTAGAATTAATTATATACAATAAACAAACACCTTTCTCTATTCCAGCACAATGTTTAATGCGTTAAAAAACGTTTTCGGCCGTTTTTAGCGATCTTCCTCAGTTCAAATTCGAACCATATTAAATATGGTTCGAATTTGAGTATTTATATTTTATATGCATAAATAAATAGCACATAAAATGAATCATACTATAGTAGAAAAGAGACTAGTATAGGAGAAAATCTATTTTAATAATAATATATTGAAAGATGTATTTCAAGTCTACATATCTATCAACTTTATATCAAAGGAATTTAAGATAGCAAGCTACAGAACATTAAATGAGTAATACAAATACATAAGTCATTTCAAAATTCAATGTTTAAGGAAATCTGGACTAAAGGATAATATAGTAATCCACAGAATGTGTATTCTATGCACAAGTTAAATTTAAACACTAAATTTAAAAAGATTATTAAGAGAAAGATTTACAGTGAAACTTTTATCTGCAACTTTGCACAAGATTAATATTTTATTAGTTATAGCATATAAATACTGAGAAATTTTTTCTATATTAATATAAATTTAGATAATTAAGTTATATGAGTTTTGTAACTATTCTGTAATTATTTTAATAAGTGAAAATTCTAATTCAACATTTTTAATTTAGTAGTTTGGCAGTTATATTAATTATATACAGTTAATAAATACAATATATATTACTTTCATTGTATCAAACATGATAGAGAGAATCTCAAAATAAACTTGCAAATTTTAAATTACATTAATAGTAAAATTTCAATAATTTTAGTTATTAAATCCTGAATTTTATTTCAAATTTTGCACAAAATAATACCTTTGAAGCAGTTAGTAACATCATGCTATTTTTCTTAAGAATAGCTCGTGCGGCAGCTAAATCTTCTCTAAGATGAGGATCCTTTAATTCCTGCAATTTATTTCCATTATAAAATTTGGAGGAAAATTTCAGTTTTTAAAAAGTTATCTTAAAAATTATTCAATTACAGCTTGTCTTTTTGCTGCTTGATGAATTAAATCTGAAGTATTTTTACCAAAGTCATGAAAAGATTTCAAAAGTTCTGACTGACTAGAGGCATTTTTTACTTTATCCAGATCTCCTTCAACCTGAATATTAAGAAATAAAAAAAACCTAAGCAAAATTGTTAATACAATAAAAAAAATTAATAAAAATTAAATTCTTACCACATGAAGGGATTTTAACAAACAGTGAACATCGACCATATCAGCAAGAATCAACAGATGTGTTACTGCCAAAAGTAAGCTTCTAGCAGCTCTTACCATATTGCTTCTTTTCACTGATGAAAATGGATCTTCTGCAAATTCTCTTGAACTTTTGCTCATAACATCACCTACAAAATATAGATATAATGTATGAAAAAATTAGTTTATTAACTATAGAAATAATAATTATGTATAGTCTCACACAAAAAACAAAATAAAAATACCAAATGACATATCTTAAAAATTTTAACTATAAAATAAATTTAATAGATTTATTTTAGAAGAAGAATCTTAAATTTTGCAAATGTATAGTTAATATAATTATAATTGACAAGCCTTTTTCATTTTCAGAAGTAACAGACAATTATGACATATTTTGACTGTATGTATAATACAAAATTATGTGATGAACAGAAGAAATACAGTCGACCCCCCTATAACACTGTTGATAATTCCGTTTTATATGAATTCCATGTTGTATGAGTCACTTAGATTTTACAAATACAGGAGCCGTTCACAGCCCGGCACACGTATTTGTAAAATCTAAGTGACTCGGTACAACATGGAATTCATATAAAACAGAATTATCAACAGTGTTATAGGGGGGTCGACTGTAATACGTTAATGGAAAATTTTTAAAGCTTCCAATTAATTGATAACTTTTCTTGAGAAATTGAAAAATAATAATGCAAAAATGTTTTTGAAAAATAAAGTTCTGTTGTAAAAACCAAACTTTATTTTTCAAAAACATAAAAGATTATTAAATACAAAGTGGGAAGATATTTAGAAAATTGTGTGTAGTAATAATCTGTTGGATGTTGTTTATAATTCTCAATTATAGTAAAAATATCAGATCTTGCCAAAAAATTTAGAATTTATAATCAGATGTAAATTTAATTATATTTGCAAGTGTTGAAGTATACAGATTATTTGTTTCTTTACAATTTCTCCCCTATTAAATCAGTATAAATCAAGAAAATTTCACTATCAAATTAAATTGCAATTAGAAAAAAATTATTTAAAAATGTCTTTGTTTTTTAATCTCAAATGTTACCAGTCATGTAATTGTTGTATCAAACAATTCTAACATAAAAACATTTAAATCTCTGAAATTGTTAAATTCAGTGCCTCTGATAAAAACAAATTATGTATCCAGTCTGAAAATGATATTTTAAACAAAGAGAAAATGGAACTTAATTTTCAGAATATAAAAACAACAACAACAAAGGATAAGACACTACTAAACTCGATTTCATGTTATAGTAAAAATATAATTAGAATGTATTTTTTGTCATTTTTGATAAATTTATAAAATCTTTATGGTTGTTATAATCTTATAGTTTTTTAATTGCAAGAAAATATTTAAAAAAAATAAAATTCTACTTAAATTTTATTTTTTAAATAAGGAAGATTAATGATTGCTCCTCTATTAAATTATCTAATGAAATTAGATTGTTATTTTATATTACCTAATACACCCACAATCTTTTGAGAAGTAAAACAGTATTTAATAACACACAATTTCAGTTTTATTAAAAGACCATTTTCAGAATAAAAATACTCCGGAAACTGGATTATACTATATTGCAGTAACTCCTACCTTGGTATTCTAAGACTNACAGTCTACACCCTATAACACTGTTGATAATTCCGTTTTATATGAATTTCATGTTGTACAAGTCACTTAGATTTTACAAACACGTGTGCCGGGCTGTGAACGGCTCATGTATTTGTAAAATCTAAGTGACTCGGTACAACATGGAATTCATATAAAACAGAATTATCAACAGTGTTATAGGGGGGTCGACTGTAATACGTTAATGGAAAATTTTTAAAGCTTCCAATTAATTGATAACTTTTCTTGAGAAATTGAAAAATAATAATGCAAAAATGTTTTTGAAAAATAAAGTTCTGTTGTAAAAACCAAACTTTATTTTTCAAAAACATAAAAGATTATTAAATACAAAGTGGGAAGATATTTAGAAAATTGTGTGTAGTAATAATCTGTTGGATGTTGTTTATAATTCTCAATTATAGTAAAAATATCAGATCTTGCCAAAAAATTTAGAATTTATAATCAGATGTAAATTTAATTATATTTGCAAGTGTTGAAGTATACAGATTATTTATTTCTTTACAATTTCTCCCCTATTAAATCAGTATAAATCAAGAAAATTTCACTATCAAATTAAATTGCAATTAGAAAAAAATTATTTAAAAATGTCTTTGTTTTTTAATCTCAAATGTTACCAGTCATGTAATTGTTGTATCAAACAATTCTAACATAAAAACATTTAAATCTCTGAAATTGTTAAATTCAGTGCCTCTGATAAAAACAAATTATGTATCCAGTCTGAAAATGATATTTTAAACAAAGAGAAAATGGAACTTAATTTTCAGAATATAAAAACAACAACAACAAAGGATAAGACACTACTAAACTCGATTTCATGTTATAGTAAAAATATAATTAGAATGTATTTTTTGTCATTTTTGATAAATTTATAAAATCTTTATGGTTGTTATAATCTTATAGTTTTTTAATTGCAAGAAAATATTTAAAAAAAATAAAATTCTACTTAAATTTTATTTTTTAAATAAGGAAGATTAATGATTGCTCCTCTATTAAATTATCTAATGAAATTAGATTGTTATTTTATATTACCTAATACACCCACAATCTTTTGAGAAGTAAAACAGTATTTAATAACACACAATTTCAGTTTTATTAAAAGACCATTTTCAGAATAAAAATACTCCGGAAACTGGATTATACTATATTGCAGTAACTCCTACCTTGGTATTCTAAGACTTACTTCAGGTCACAAATTTCAAATAGATGAAACATCTAACATTTTGGTGTTCATATATGTCAGGTGCAGAAGAGCTTATACAAAAATTCAAATTTATAATTCTCTAAAATTTACATATACTATTGGTTGATTTTAAGAAATTTTAAATTTGAATTTTTATATAAGCTCTTTTGCGCCCGACACATTTGAACACCAAAATGCTAGATCAGCGTTTCTCAAAGTGTTCATATATGTCAGGTGCAGAAGAGCTTATACAAAAATTCAAATTTATAATTCTCTAAAATTTACATATACTATTGGTTGATTTTAAGAAATTTTAAATTTGAATTTTTATATAAGCTCTTTTGCGCCCGACACATTTGAACACCAAAATGCTAGATCAGCGTTTCTCAAAGTGTTCATATATGTCAGGTGCAGAAGAGCTTATACAAAAATTCAAATTTATAATTCTCTAAAATTTACATATACTATTGGTTGATTTTAAGAAATTTTAAATTTGAATTTTTATATAAGCTCTTTTGCGCCCGACACATTTGAACACCAAAATGCTAGATCAGCGTTTCTCAAAGTGGTTGATAACGCCCCCTTGTGGGCGCTGGAGGCTTTCAGGGGGGCAAGTAGAAGGCTCAAAGAGAATTGGGGGGTGTTAAGGAAATATAGAGGGGCGACGGCAGACAAATTCTATATATAAAAATTCGACGGAATATATATAAAATGTTGACATTTCATATTTTTTTTTAATTTTTTATTAAAGGTCACAACTTGAATATTTCTAACACATTGACTTTTATTTTAGCTCAGCGTTTCTCAAAGTAAGCAATAACGCCCCCTTCTGGCGCGATGAATAGATCTATGATAGAGGCAGGGTATTGAACGGTGACCAAAGGCAAAATTGGGGCTGATAAGAGGAAACATTGCGTTTAATGGTTTCCAGATGATGAGAACAATGTACAGTAAGGGCACAAAGTGTGAGATTCATAGAAAAGTTTTCCTAAGAATATTTCCAATCCTTTTCTCACACAAGAGAAAATGGGTTAGGGGGCGTTGGGTATAACTTTATGGAACAAAGGGGGCGGTGGATCGAAAAAGTTTGAGAATCACTGTGCTAGATGTTCCATCTGTTTGAAATTTGTGACCTGAAGCAGGTCTTAGAAAAAGACTGAAAACATTCATTTTTCTGAACTTGCACCATTCTGGTGGGTGAATACCAAGAGAGTTTCCACAGACCAACTTCAGGTTAAGAAGAATGCAATCAAACATAAAATCAATGGTTATAAAATACTGTTTTTCAGCAAGATTGACAGTATATTAATTGCTTTCTCTGCAATCATCTTTTCATTGTTTTAAATAATATATATATATAATAACACAGTAGCTTAATTTATCAAGTTAATTTGTTATCAATTCCATTTCAGTTTAAATTAAATATATTTTTACTAAAATAAGAATATTTAAAAAATTTTAAAATATTTTATGTAAATTTTCCAATAAAATGTGTTTGTTAGAGATGGGCTGATATCATTAAAGAATACTGAAACACATATGATGGCTATAGTACAGACAGTGCCTTTTTAGTAAGGGTTGCCAGACAGATAATGTAGTGTCAATCATCCTCAAAGTGTTTACAAAAGTTATTGTAGTTTTCTTATCTTCATCATTATCATGTATGAAAGAATACATTAAAGAATCTATTTTAATTCATGATTATGTCCAAATGAATGCATATAAAGTAAAACCTGATATAGCAGATTCTGAGTCAGCAAATGTCTGCTTAAGACAGATTATCTGCTAAAAAATTGATATATATTTCAAAACATCCAGCAACATTTAAATATTTGATACATATAAGCTTTATTCACAGTTTTGTTTTGTGAAAGTGTGAGAGATAAGAACAGAATTCAAAAATAGTCAAAGAATAACCAAAATTATACAACTATTTTTAAACAATAAATAATTAATTTAGAGAAGTCTAGAAGAAAAGATCTGGTCTGGAGTGAGACTCAAACTCACAATTACTGTTTATGCTATCTAAATGACACAAGTAGGATGTTTGCCAATTTTCCCAGCACATGATTAATTCTACTTCTCTTATTTCCTCCTTTAATTATACAAGAGAAAAATGCAGTCCATCAATCCATCAAAGTGAAGAGTGTAAGAGTACTTTATATATATAATACTCTTACACATATATATGCACTGAAAACTTTAACAAGTTTAAGGACACACAAATTCTATGAAATGATAATAATAAAGATAATTTTTTAATGTCATTTATGGGAAACATGTATTGTCATTCTAACAGATTTTGAAAATAA